CCAGATGGAGGAGCATCAACCCCTTTGAGCCCCAGCATGAATAGTTCTCATTGGCTTTTTTGTTTCCCTACTTTCTGATCCAGAGGCCCTTTGGATTAGTTGCCTCCTCAGGTTCCCAAACAACCCTGTAACAGTACTGATTGTAGGTCAGCCCTCTGCTTGGCACTTGCACTTAAGAATAGGACATGTCAATAGGTCATGAAAGCCATATGGTGAGTGCAAGGACTCAGGCCCAAGATGGTCTGGGAGCTCGAAGAGATGGGCAAGGCTACTGGGGTGTTTGGGAAGACTTCCTGGGAGAGGTGATGCCTGTACATTTAAGTAGAAAAGTAGGAATTAGGGGTGGCAGGGAAGAATCTTTGAACTGAGTAGATAATCTGTGCAAAGGCTTGGGGACAAAGAAGGTAGTATATGCAGGAAACTACAATCCACTTCAGTTCCCCTCAGTTGGAAGGGACAGATGGGGAGGGAGGGTGCAGTAGCCCCTATTGGCCTTGCTAAGGCGTAAGGCTTAGAATTTTGCCTTGGGTGATAGAAAACCAGAGAAAACTTTGAACTGGGTAGAGACAAGTTTTTTTGTTTTTGTTTTAATCCGTAAAAATTGTTGGAGGTGGGACAGGCAGAGGGAGGAAAATAAAGGTAAGTGCTTGGGATTCCAAAGAAAGGATGAAGGGAGAGTGGGGGCGGGGTACTATAAGGATTTCCTTTTAAGGAAGGAAGGTAATGCTGTGGGCAAAGTCAGAATGACCCCAAAGGAATAGGCGATGGGCTTTTGGGGAACCATGGACAGCCATGGGCAGTTGGGTTTGGGTGTGTGGTCATGCACACCCCTTTATTCCCCTGCAGAATGCAGGCGAGTTAAGAAGAACCGAACAGCTGTTTATTACTTGCTTTTGGTTTCCTTTCCCCACACCGTTTTTGGAGTCCTCTCTGCCCTTCAGCCAGGATGGTAAGATCAAGGCAGGAGGTGGGGACCTTAATATGAAATGTGCATCCCTGGTCAGGATTGGGGCAAGGACGGTGGCCTCCTGTTAAGTGACCTCCTAATCCCAGGGGAAAGTGCGTGTTCCACCACTTACCACCTAGGCTGACCTTGGGTGAGAGCCTAATCTTTCCGAGCCTTCCTTGCTCCATCTGCCAAATGGAGCTGAATTTACCGACCATGGAAAAGAATCATACTGTGTCAACATGGCTGTTTAGCCAAAGTTAATTCCTCCTGTGTGCCGAGGTCATGCGCCAACAGTTAATGATGTTCTTACCAGAATGTTCCTCTTTGGAGTGCAAGGTTGAAAGGGAGGCCCTGTGTCAAGTGTCTGCGTTCCTGAAGAAAGGACCATCTGCTATCTCTGCATTCCTATTTGGGGGGGGGGCAAATTGGGTACTAAACTCCTGCCCCTTCCATATTCTTCTAACCTATAGCAGGGAAGCTTGTTGGGTGTTAATTATTGTGTCCTGCCTCTGTCAAGTCGCGCGCGCCTGTGTGTCTGTGTGTGTGAGAGAGAGAGAAAGAGAGAGAGAGAGTGGGAGAAAGAGAGAGAGAAAGAGGGATGCAGGGAGGGAGAGCGAGAGATAATGGGGTTCACCCCAACTCCAAGAGCAGTCTGCTTAGCTGCCAGGGGGAGGCGCCCAGTGCTTGGGCCTTTTGGGCCCCGCCGCAGCGCGGGTCGGGGCTCCACGTGTTCCCCTAGTCCATGGGTTTCTACCGCGAGGGGGCCTGGCAAGCCAGCAGCGTGGGGCCGCTGGGTGCAGACACCTCCCCGGACCTGCGCAGGTCCTCCGGTAGCTGAGGCTCACGCAGCGAGCGGTCCGGACCCTCCGCTGGCAAACAGATGACGAGGGCGCGTCCATCGCTCTCTGATTTCAAGGTAGAAAGCGGCGCCGTGTTCAAGTGTAAAGGCAGGCCGCGGAGGGGCGCTGGGCCAGGCTGGGCGCCCTGCGGCCGGGACTGGGATGGTGCCCCCGGGACTACCCCGGCTGCTCCGGAGAGAGCTGGAGGCAGCTGGGCCGCGGGGCCCACCGCGTGCTCACCTGCTGGTTCTGGAGGCTGGGGGAAGGGGGTCGCTGGGACGGGGGCGGGGCGCGACGGGCCAATGGGGAGAGGGCATTCAATTGACTGCTACATTTCCCCTGGAAAGTGGAGGGGGTTTGGGCCATGGTAAAGTGTGGTTTCAGAGCAATGGAAGGCCTTGGTGGGGGCCGGAGCCGCCCAGGGACAGTTTGGGGCGCAGTCAGGACAGAGGGACGTGAAGATACCGGCCGTGGCAGACTCCACCAGCAGCGACAGGCCGGGCCCCAGCCGCCTTTCTGTTCCCGGGTTCCGCGGGCCAGCGGCCCGTTGTCGCCAGTTCCACAGCGCCCCCTGCTGGACGTAGGCCCCCATGTCTGGCGTGCTGGGGCCGTGACTCGGAGGTTGAGAACGTGTGGGCCTCCCAGCCTTGGGAGCAGCCGGGAGGGTAATGAACCAACTCGCCTCGGGTCCAGAAGCTTTGGAGCCAGAGGCAACTACCTCTTTAAAAATATGTAACGGGGTCAGAAAGACCTATGCTAGTGAGAATAACTTCTTGTCCTGCCGCTCCCACGGGCCTGACCCTTCTATCACTCACTACCACCCAAGAATGAGGAAACAGTGAGGAGGCTGACCCAGGAAGGTGCAGCAGTAAAGCGCAGGAGTTCAGGAGTCACTGGCAACACCTGGTGACAGCAAGGCACAGCTGGAAACAGTCTTGGGCTCCTTGTGGCCACAGACACTGGCAAATGAAACAGCTGCGTGCAGTATTATGAGAGGTGAAAAAGCTCGGGTAACCCCCAAGTATGGGTTGTCCTCCCTCCCCTTTTGCCTGCCATAGTGTAGGGCTGAAATCCCCATGACTAGATACAGGACTCGTTCTTTCAATAAACATTTATTGAGCACCTACTGTGTGCCAGGCACTGTGCTAGGCGCTGGGGATACATCAGTGACTAACACACAGTCCCTGTCCTTGAGGAGCTCACAGTCTATTAGAGGGGAAACGTACATAAACATATAACTAAGGCGCTACCATGTGCTAAGTGCTACAGTAAGAGGTATATACAAAGTGCTGTGGGAGCCCCAGAGGAGGGGGCAAGAAGCGAGTCTCTTGACTCGATTAAACCATCACAAAGGCGGAGATGTCATTGCCATAAGACCCTGGTTAAAACGAACCTATCTCTTGAGGTTCTCCTCTAGCCCTCTCCCATCACTTTATCAGCACAGGTTAGTTTATCAGATTAGTTCAGTTAACACTTTGAGTTAGAAAAGAAACTGGACAGGGAAGTTTCTTTAGGGGTAGAGGGGTGTTTAAAGTAGTAACAACTCTTGGGTGTGGAGGCTGCGGGACGAGGGGATCCACGAGGGCACTGAGCCAGGGAGCACAGGCCCTAGACAGTGGAGCACCTGGGGTGAGTGTCTGTGCAGAGGGGAGGTCGGCGTCACCTACCTCGAAGTTTGGTCCCCATTGCTCACCAGCTCCATCAGTTTGCTGATGCACACTAGATGCTTCGTATGTAGCGTGCCCTGCTCTGTGGGTGATCCAGTCCCCCACCCCTCAGAAGGTAACATGCTAATTGGGGAGACTAAGTCCAGGTCACTGAAGGTTTCATAACAGTTTGTGGTTATAATAGAGATGTCACAGGTTGTTCGTGGTCAGTTGCCAAAGGAGTGGCAATTACTATGAGTTTCAAATAAATAACTCTGGGGGAAGCAGCTTTTATGAATTTAGTCTTGAAGGATGGATAGGATTCAGTTGGTACTAGCGGGGTGGGAGGAACATTCTGGTTAAACAGAACCAAGTAAAGCAAGAACACAGAGGTGGGAAACTTGAACAGAAGCTTTGTTCAAAGTTCAGTGAGGCCATCGATTTGGCTGGAGCAATACATTGGGGGTGGGGGAAGCAATGTGAGAGACAGACGACTGGGGAAGTCAGATAGGACCTGATAATGAAGGACCTTGCCAGAAGGTCAAGGACTTGGAAACTTGACGGAAGACAGGGCCGATGCTAAGCTCAAAATATTTTTGGAACTACTGCCCTGAGCCCTCAAATGCCCCTCCTCCAGGACCGCTGGACTGCCTCATGATTCAGGAAGTGAAGAGTTAATGCCCAGCTGCCTAGAATGGATTAGAGTTTACATATTTTGAGTATCACCCCTACCCATAGGCAATGAGGAGACCTTGAAGGTTTTTAACAGATCAGAATTGTCACCCTGGCAGATCGGAGGGGACAAGAAAGTCACAGTAGGGCTGTGGATGTGTCTGGAGAGGGGGATAAGCTCTGGGTAGTTTGAGGCCCTGGCAATGTGAAAGAAAGGCCAGATTTGAGAGACATGGCAAATGGCACTGGACTTCAAAAGATGGGGGAGGGGGCAGGGTCAAGTGAAGGCAGCCATCAGATGGCTCTGAAATGTCAGGGAAATGGTGGCAACATTAACAGAAACAGGCAAGTCATGACAGGTTTTTTTTTCTTGGAAAGGTGTGTGTGTGTGTGTACTTTCGAAATTGACTTTTGGGAGACAGGCTGTCTTTGAGGGCCTGGCAGGCATCTAGGTGAAAATGTCCAGCGGGCCCCTGCACATGTGAGCCAGGAGCTGAGGAGAAAAATGGGGGCTGAAGCTCTAGATTTTGGACTCATCCCCGAAGAGCTGAGCCAGAGCCAAGAGGATGGATGAGACATCTGGGGGACACCCACACTGAAATTGGAGATGCACAGCCAGCATGAGCAGGCTCAGAGCAGGCAACAGAGGGCGCAGTTAATGTGGGCTAGTGCTAGAGACGATGGGAAGTACTGTCACATGCTGTGAGGGCTCACAGTGGCCAAGAACTTTGAAGACATTGGATGTCACCATGAAGACATCAGTGGCCTTCACGTGATAAGTTCTATGGGGTTGAAGTGAGGGGAGCAGGGCCACCCTTAACCCATGCAGCACCTTTGTGCAAAAAAATTTGTTAAAGGTGACTCTCAAGATGCTTTGCTTTCCACCATCATGAAATTGTTACAATAAACTGATTTTATTAGAAAAAGGCACTTAAATGCCATGTGCTGGAGACATGTAATAAATAAACCTGCACAACTGTATACTGTTCCCTTCCGGGGGCAAGGTGGGGGGGCGACAAGAAGAAAGTGGGCGAGGATAATAGTAGGCTTGATGGTGATGAGAAAGCGAGAAGAGCAGCCTGGGGAGGTAGTTAGATCAAGTGGATGGTTTTGCACTGAGGACATAGCAAAGGTCCTGAGGCACTGATTCACATTAACCAAATGCACCAGATAATGTCATTGTTTCTGAAGCTGACGGATTGTGTCTTAGCTGTTAGCCTGGCCCCCCAAACTTGGCAGGAGAGAAGCGAGCTAATTCAAAGAAAGGAGAGGAGAGGGGATGCAGACCCTAAGGCAAGGAATTGACTTTCAGAGAGAATCAGCTGGCTCTTCAGAGGAAAGAAGGAAGCAAGGAGCCATGGAGACAGGATAAGTACCATGGGAGCTCACATCTGCTGGCTCCTGTCTTCTTGGTGAAGGAATCCGGGCCAGGTGTGACAGTTGGAGAGGGGCAGTGGTCCACTTGCATGTCTGCTGTAGCCATGGTGGGGGCAGGTGGGTTGGCAAACTTATGAGGTGAGCAGAAGGTGGGCTCTGTGGCAGGCATACGCGAGTGGGAATGGAAGCAGACCCAATCTACAGGGCTACACGACTATCCCCAGAAATGCCTGACAGCAGGCAATGATCAGGAGCAACATTAATCAAGAGGGAACCCAGGAATTACGCCAGGCGCAAAGACTGGTCTTACAGCCCCAACCCTCGGCACATTCAATTAATGTAGCCCCACTTGAGGACCTGGTGGCTGGGTCTAACCCTGGAGAGGCACTCAACTCCTGTCTCACCCGTCCGCACAGCCCTCTGGGGTGGCCACGGTTCCAGCATGCTGGCAAGTGACTGGCGTTGGGTAAGGAGGCCAACTCCAGGAAGAGGGCCTCTGTCGAGGCCAGACGCTGCTCCCTGCCCCCAGGGTGGTTTCCTTCCCTCTTCGTGACTTGGCCTTCTCCTGTCCCTTAAACTGCATGTGCTCCAACACACATGCCAATCAAGGCTCTTCTACCCTGGACCTGCTCCAGTTCTGTGACATCTCTCCAGATTTGGGGGAGCCAACCTGCACCCGATAGTCTCAGAGCAACTGAATCTTGGTTTGTATTGGGGTGTTGGAAAAGCCATGACGTATTTTTTCTGGTTTTCGTTGCAAAAATGCGTCATGACTTTTCCGACAACCCAATCCATTCAAAGGGAACTAGAGAATGTCCTCAGCCACAGAGAGACACACGTTCTTGAAGACCTCATAGTTGTACACTCGTCCTCCCCGAAAGAAATGATAGAGACCCACGAGTACACACAAATATATAACGAGATATTCACATATGGGATAGTAAGTTCCCTGCAGGGGGAACACAGAGGGTGAAATACGGCCAGGCAAAAAAGGGCTCTTCCCGTGAAGCCCCTGCACCTGTCCTGGCCACCAACTTCTTAGGAGGTTATGCTTTCATCACCATGTCAGCCCACTACTCCTGACAAGGGCATATCCCCTAGTGCTCTTGAAGGCCATGGTCTGACGCCAGGGATGCTCAAAGTGGGCCTGGCCTGGCCATGGTGATATCAGGCAGGGGTGGGTGGTGGGCTGGGCTGGTGTAGGGACATCCCATCGAAATGTAAGAGCGGGTGAGCCACTTCTATCAGTCTCTGCTAGAGGCAGTCCATATACAAATGGTGTTCAGCTTTGCCTGGTGGGTCACACTTCCCCAACCCCTCTGTTTATATGTCGTGGGGCTCCATCTTAATGAGGGAAGTGGGATTGAATGGGGAGAAGGGAGCTGGGGTTGGGGATCTAGTCAGCAGGCTCCCAGATGTGGTTACACTAGACTCAGCCGTGAACATGGACCCTGAGCCTGAGGACAGCTCAAGTTCAGCCACCGGGGTCAGCCCAACAGTGGGGCGGCTGGGAGCAGAGAAAGCCTGGTTTCCCAGAAGGCTCGGATTGTGGGAAGCCCTTGAAGCCATGTGGGTCGGAAGTGGCTGAAGGTGAGCCTGGTCCCTCAGGAGTTCCCTCAGGGTCTCTTCACGAACTAGCAGCCCCTCCATGGGGGCCCCAGTCACCATGCCCTGCACATATGAGGAGGGCCTCAGTGGCCCCTCCTTGACCCCAGGGGCTGCTGTGGCACCGGAAGTCCTGATGAAGGCAGCAATGACAGTCCCCGAGGGCTGAGAGCTGGACCCCACTGCTCCAGCCCCTGAGACCAAGGGTGCTGCCGGATTAGTCGGACGGTTGGCCCCAGCCAGAAGTTGGGGAAGGCCACTGAGAATCAGTGGAGTCCCTGGTGCTGCCACCTGGTTTTCTTGGAAACTGGTGTTCAGGGGGAAGGAGGCCTGCAAGGTGAAGGTGTCCTTCAAGGTCGAAGCAGGTGGAACACTCTGGAGAAGGAGCTGAGTTGAAGCAGTAGTACTGGCAGGAGGCCCGTTGGTCAGCACTGTGGTCAGAGGGATTGTCTGCAGGGTTAAGGCTGAGCCTGACCCCACAGGGGCCACTCCTAGGTGGATGTTGCTGGGCACTGGAGAAGCACTGAGAAGAAACAGACAACAGATTTTATTAAGGCAGGAGGCATCTCCCAACTGGCTAGAAAGGAGGGCACAGGAGGAAAGGAGCCGAAGGTGTTTTGTTTCTTCATTGCTGTTTCAGCTAACCTTTATTGAGTACTCGGTATAGGTCAGGGACACTCAAAAGGATTGACATGTGGTCGTTCCCTCAATCTTCAAAACAGCCCATGAGTTGAATTAGATTAATCTGATGTTACAGCTTGAGGAAACTGAGGCACACAGAGGTTATGTCACTTGCCCTAGACCACACAGCCAGTAGCAGGGACTCACATGTAGGCTTTCTGACTCCAGAGCTCATGTTCACCACTTCACCCTACTGCCTTCCCTCCTTAGAAGACCAAAGACCATCTCAGCGACCCATGCCAGCGTAGTGAGAGCTACATAACACACAACCCAGACAAAGCCCAACCTCTTAGGGAAAACTGGAAGCACTTCGTGTGGACAAGAAGTACCAAGAGCTTTCTGGGTGGACCTGGAGGGCCTGAGGAAAGCAGAGTGGGCCTCTCCGTAACATTCTCTGCTGCTCCTTTTCTGGAGTGGGGGAAGAGCCCAGCTGTGGAGGCCCCTGATGGCTGCTTGCAGAGCATTCCGGGGTAATAGCAACAGCCCCAGCTGGCAGCAGAAGCCCCCCCAGGTCAAGTGCTGCCTTTACCATGACTTTGGTGTGTGGATTCAGGCAAGCTGCTTTCCTTCTCTTGACTAACTAATGCCCCACTGGCTTCCCAGGGACTCTGTGTGGGTCTCATGAGACTGGACAGACATAAGAGCTTTGCAAGAAGTTGAAACCGGCCCTCCAACCTGAGGTACTATGGGAAGACTCGTAACAGCTTGGGTGCCCTTACCTCACAGCTTTGGTGAGTTTGGCCTGGCTCTCCGGTGGAGAGACAAGCACGGCGGAGGTAGTGGGGATCTCCTCATCTAGAGACAGTCCTAATTCCAGACTCGCAGATGGCTGTAGACCAATGTGCTGAACCCTCGGCTTTTCCCAGGGAGGGCTGCCTTTGCCCGGGGGCGTGGGCCTGGATGAGACCCTGGAGCTGGCTCGCCGGGCAGTGCTTGTGGAGGAGGTGGAGGCAGTGGAGGCCTGAGGGGATGCCTCTGTGACTTCACTTCTCTCATCCTCATCTTCAATCACCACTAGGTCCTTGGGCATCTCCTTAAACTGGTACACCAGCCTCTGTCCTTCCACTTTGGCAAGAATGCCCCTTTGGTAGTAATATCTGGGGTACAAGGGGTTGGGAGTTAGTCAGGGACAGTCCGCCCTCCAGGGCAGGGCCAGCATGAGGTGGAGGCTGGCCAGGAGCCAGATGGAAGGCCAAGGCCAAGGGCAAGAGTTTCTTGGATTTGAAAGGCTTTTATGCAATTTCTGATATCTACCCTTGGGGAAGCAAAGAGTCCAGGAAAAGGGGTTTCAAATGCCAGCCCCCCTCCTGCTTTGAGGCAAAGGACAGGGGTGAGCGATAGATGGGAGGGGATGGATGAATGATGGGGGGTTCTGCAGTCCTCCAGGCTGGGAGACCAGCTGTGGATAACTCTGGCCCACCCCCCTAGATCTCTGGCTTGAAGAAGGTGAAGGAAGTCCTTCTTGGGGACGGGAGGCCCTAAAATACTCGTCTCCTATCAAAAGGGAAAAAGCTAAAGACAGAGCTGCAAAAGGAAGGATACTGTTTCTCCCAGAGGGGGTCTGGGGAATGGGCTTTGGGGCAAGCAAATGGGAAGGTGAGGAGACCCCAAAGTGGGAAGGCCTCCTTGCACATGTAAGGAAGAGCTTAGTGATTCCCCCCAGGGCAAGGACCCCCAGCAGCTCCTACCTTAGTGCCCGCCCCATTGTCTCATAGTTCATGTCAGGCTTGTTTTTCTGCTTTCCCCAGAGCTTGGACACAGCTTTGGAATCCACCAGCTTGAAGATGCCTTTCTCTCGCTGGGTCCACTTGATGTACTTGGGGCAGGTGTTCCTGTCTTGCAGAAGCGCCAGGAGGAACTCCCACAGATAGATGGTGCTGCCTGCGGAGGGGCAGGTGGTGATGGGGAGGTTCAGGCACCTTGGCGCCCTTCCCACCTCACCTGACTCCCAGCCATACCTTTGCCATCCTTAGATTTCTTCCGTATGGGGATGCTGGGGTCAGTGACAGGTGAGGTACTGCGGTTACCCTTTGTCTTCCTGACTGTGAGGAGAAGGTGCGAGAGCAGGATGAGGCTGAGGCCATGGCCAGCATTCCAGGGCAGGCTCCCGAAAGGGAGGGCCTGGAGCTTATCGAGTTGAGTGTGACAAGGAAGAGCCAGGTCACCATGGCTGGAGGCCCATGGTCCTATCCCTCAGGTATGTGCACGTGCCCAACGGCCCACCCTCATTTCCAGGCCCCAAAGGTGGACCAGCACACCGCTACAGTGGGGGGCAATGGAGAGCTTCCACGTGAGTAACTCTTAGATGAACACAACCCACCTAACCTACTTTTTTCAATGAAAAGGCAGCCTAAAGGTGTGAGTGGAGTGCACCACTGGGGTTTTGGATGCCATGCTGACAAGGCAGTATCCACCAGCCATCACCCAAGTAAATCAATAACAGCGCGGCTTGGGAAAGCCCAAAGTCCTCTTCCATATATGGCCTCGGCTCCCAGAAGGAAGATAAGCGCGCACAGCACACAGCAGAGACCCCCAGGGGGCCAAGCCTGGTGTCTAAACATCCAGCCTAGGATTCCACCCATTGGGATCACTGGCACTTCTGGAAGAGTTTACATTTATGCTGGGCAGACAGGAGCGGCCTGGGAAGTGTCAGGCTGTGGGCAGGCCAACAGATGAGGCCAGGTTTTACCTATGAGAAGCCTTTTCATCCATTCCTGCCATACCAGAGAGCTTTCCTCTTAATGTGTCTGTGAGCCTCCACCCACTCACTCCTATGGCCTCCCTGACCACCCCTCTCCTACCATCCACCCCCTTGAAGACATATACACACGTACACACACACTTTCTCCCTCCCTCCCTCCCTCCCCACCTTTCCCCTCCCCTCCCCTTCCCTTCCCTTCCTCCATCCTTCTTACTTCTCTTCTTTGATTTTCCAGTGTTCTTGGCACTTTCCTCTCTGGGGACCTTCTCCTCCAGAGAATGTCCCTCCTGGTCACCAGTGTCACCAGCCTGGTTCAGGGCATTGGGCTCAGAGACAGGAAACAGGTAGTTGGGCAGAGTGACAGCTGGAGCAGGGTCTGAGTCCGGAAGCATTTCAGAGGTGCTAACTGCAAGAAAAAAGGCCTGAGGTGGCTGGGGCCCAGTGCAGGGTGGGAGTGTGGTTTCCAGAGCTTGAGAGAATGGCAGGCTCCTGAAGAGGGCAGGGGTGACATTCCCCTCAGCCCTAGACACAGGATACACCTAAAAATGCCTCATGTGTCTTACATCATGAGAAGAAACATCTGCAGAGCTGTGGTGGGCATGAGCTGGCCTCAATCACAGCTGCCACGTTTTTTTTTGTTGTGAAATACACATTTTTTAGAATTTGTTTCAGCTGTACAACACAGTGCAATAGTTATACTTTTTACCCCTCGAAGTGCCAACCCCCTCCCCCAATCCGCCACCCCACTTTCCCCCAATATCATACATATCTATTACAATTCCCTTGACTCTACTCCCACACTATACTCCACGTCCCATGACTATGTATGTATGTATGTGTGTATATATATATATATATATATATATATATGTATATATTCACTTATAGTTGACATACAATATTATACAACATCAGCTTCAGGTGTACAGTGCAGTGATCAAGCCTCTACCCCATCCATGAAGTGTTCGTCCTAACAAGTCATGTGACCATCTGACACTACAAAATATTTACAACATTATTAATTATATTCCTCAAACTGTCTTTCATATCCCTGTGGCAATATAGTAGTTACCTATTTATGCACAGCTGCCACATTTTGAGCCTACTGCTGGTGGTGGGGAAGTTCCAGGCGACACCCAGGGTAAAGGGCCACCTTGATTTAGTCATTCACTCATTTTTACAACTGAAAAGGGCTTTCAACATCACTTGGCCCAATTCCTCTGCTTTCCTGATGAAGAAACTGAGACCAAAGACAGCAGGGCCTTGCCCAAAGTCACACAGCAAGTTGGTGCCTGGTAAATGTAGGCACTCAGTAAATATCTGTTGAAACCTAAATGAATATTAGTGACAGAGTCGGGATTAGAAATGCTAAGACTCTTAACTTGCAGCTTAAGGACTTTCTTTTCCACACTGTATCCCAGCTCCCCCTTGGAAAGGGGCAGTTAGGGCCAGGGATCCTCCTGTGCAGTCAGGGCAAATGTTTGAGGGGGTCCCGGGGGAGGAGCCTGCCTTGGGGGCCTTCTGGGGAGGGAGGGCCAACCTCCAAGTACAGGGGAGGGATGAGGAGGTTCCAAGCCTGTTACATTTTAAAATAAGTCACACCCTGCATAGCCCTTCTGGGAGTCCTGCAAGAGAGCAGAAGGGCCTGACGTCACCCTGGCCAATAGTATTCAACCTTAAAAAGAAAGGAAATTCAGACATGTGCCACAAGATGGACAGACCTGGAGGACATTATGCTCAGTCAAATAAGCCAGTCCCCAAAAGACAAATATTATGGTATGATTCCACTTATATGAGGAGCCTAGAGTAGTCCTATTCATAGAGACAGAAAGTAGAATGGTGAATGTCAGGGGCTGAGGGGAGGGCAAAATGGGGAGTTGTTTGATGGGTAAAAAAGTTTCAGTGAAAAGAGTTTTGGAGATGGATGGTGATAATGGCTGCAAAACAATACAAATTAACTTAGTACTGCTGAGCTGTACACGGAAAAATGATTCGGTGGTCAATTTTATGTGTCTTTTCCCACAATTTAAAAATTGGGAAAAAAGTCACCCTGGCCACCTTTTCCTCCCCTGTGGTGCCCTCTTGTTCCCTCCCATTCCATTCAGAGCTCAAGAGCAGGTTTACATGTATGTCAGTGGGTGTGAGTACCTATGTCTAACATGCACATGTGCCTGAGAATCCAATACACAGATGCGATCTTTTTAAATGGCATTTTGTATTGCCTTGAGTTCAGACACTGGAATTCGGACTTACAGATCTGCTTCTCATCCAGGATGTTGTTGGGAGACTCAACATTGAGCAGGACTTCAGTGGTTGACATGGTTTGTGAGGTTGCTTCATTTTCATCTGGTTCCAGGTTCCATGGGAGGGGGGAGAAGAAACGTTATCTCAGGGCACAGGGCGGAGGGTTCAGCCATAACCAGGGCCAGCCCAGAGAATGATGCTAAGGAGCCAATGGACAGCCAGGAAGAGACAGCACACCACCTCCCACCCTAATCATCCACCTTTTCTCTACATGCACCCCAGCTGTCTCCACCCCCCATGGTCCCCCTCTATCTCAAAAGATCATGAATCCATTTAGATGGCCTCCTGCTCTATGAAGTGGTACTACCTTTTGCTTGGCCTAACTGCCCCACGTCATTTCCAACTGTTAGGGGCCTTGCTCTTGCTGCCTGTGTCGCTAGAAGCCGTTGTCCGCGACTGTTCCCTGAAGACAGAACCCCTTTCTCCTCCCCACCTTCCCTGCCCAAGAAGGGGACAGACCTGCCAGCAAAAAACTACCCTCCAGGATCTGATCCTGCGTCATGCACAAGGTCCGGTCCGTTATGATGCCATTGTGAACGTCGTCCAGCTCCAGTCCTGAGTACAGATGCAGTAATTCGGGGTAGGGTACCTGCTCCACAATCACAGCTGGGAATACTGAGGGGTCTTCCAGCTGTGGAGAAGAGCGGGATCTGGTTCAAGACCCACCCGCCTCTTCCAGGAAGCCCTCACTACCGGCATCTGGCCCTGCTTGCCCTTCCTAATTTGAGCCCTCAGAGGCTGTCCTTTGTATGGGATGACATTACTCTGGGTCCAGCCTCACTAGGTGATGTTTTCAGTGAATTCTTAATTAATAGAGATGGGTTAGCTCTGCACACCTGCACTCAGTGAAAAACGAGCAGTTTTAATTGGTTGTAGTTATGGGCTAATCCATGGCCATGGTTGGTGCTCAGTCTATGAGAAGGGTTAGGCTCATTCTGAGGCCAGTGGGAAAGGATTGGTCAAGGGCAAGGGGCTCAATCTATAGTCAGGTGAAGGACTCAGCCAGGGTCAGGTACCCAGAGTTAGGGGATCAGATTGTGGACCTCTTAGGGCTCAGTCTGTGGCAATGAAGATGGAAGAACGGAGGCATGATAGAAGTAGAAAGGTAAGAGCCCAGCCCCTGCCTGGGTGGGGGAGACGTTCCAATTTACAGCTTGATTCAATGGGTGCATGGGGACACTGTTCATGTTAAGGGGTAGCCCAGGAGGAGGAAAAACAGGATTTTTGGAGAAAGGTAATGGGGGAAGTGTCTAGATATGGTGAGTTTGAGGTTCCTTCGAGATATTTAAAATGGAGAGACCTCTCAGGGAGTCAAAATATGTGTCTAAGAGCTCAAAAAGATGGTTACTAAATCCCTTGGAGTGGAGAAAATCATCAGATTGTGAATCCGGCCCCTGAAGGACATACTGTTCTACAATCACACAAAGCTAAATAAAGATGGAGTGTGACTGTAACTTTTTAAAAAATTATGTATCAAAGGAAATACACCAGAATGTTCATAATAATTATATTTTGGTTGTGGGATTTTGGGTGTTTTTTCCCCCTTTCTTTCTACTTTTCTACACATCACAGTAGAAAAGTAGAAAAGAATACTTTCCAAATTTTCTTTCATGAGACTTCATGATTTCTTCATGGAAAAAGAGTGGGACTACTCACTTCTGCCTAATGTTCCTGAAGGATTCAGAAGAGTAAAAATTGATAAAATGCCTTTGGGTTTGGCCACTGGGCAGTCACCCTGGCTAGAGCAGTTTCAGGGGAATGCTGGGGTCCCAAGGCACATTACAATGGATTGCAGAGAGGACGGACTGAGGCAGGCAGTTGGGTGTAGTGATTAAGGCCATAAAGTTAAAAGCTGTCTGTCCAATATGGTAGCCACTAACCATAGTAACTATTTAACATAAATGCAAAGTTTTTCAAGATTAAAAAGTAGTTCTTCAGTTTCACTAGCCATAGTTCAAATGCTCCATAGCCACATGAGACTAGTGGCCCCATACTGGATAGTGCAAATATGGACTACTCCTAGCACCTCAGAATATTCTATTGGATTGTGCTGGTCTAGAGCCAGAGTGCCTGGATGTGAAACCAAGCTCTGCTACTTACTGGCAAGTTACCTAACCTTTCTGTGCATCGGTTTCCTCATTTATAAAATTGGGGTGATCATATTATGGACCCCATAGGATTGTTTAAATGGATCAATACATATAAAGCACTTAGAACAAGGCCTGGCATACAGTAGGTTCTCATTGTTTTACGTATCAGGGGCTTCTAAGAGACTAGTAACATTTTATTTCTTAACCTGGGTGGTGAGTTCATAGGTGTTCATTTTATAGTTATTATATATATACCGGGGGTGCCAAAAACATGTATACAGGTGGACACTTCGGTCAGTGTTGCTCAAACAGTAGTTTGCTGTAATCAGAAGTGTCTAGATGCTGATGGTAACCACTTTGAGCACCTCTTCTAATCACAGAAGTCAAACGTGACTTGTATTCATCTTTTGTTATCCATATATATTGAGTATTACATTTCTAATACAGTTTTCCTTTCTTAAAATGTGTATACATTTTTGGCACCCTCTGTATGTATGTATGTATGTATGTGTGTGTGTGTATACATATCACATATGCACATATATGTGATTTATGAACTTTTGTATTCATGATACATTTTGCAATAAAATTTGTTTCCTAAAAAGAGGGAGACAAGGGAGGTGAGAAAGTAAACACTTTCTCTACGCTCCCAGACTATGCTGGGGAGAAGAAAGGTGCTAAGAAGGTGGTATTTTGAAGGAGATGGGTGGAAGAGAGGGAAGGTTTTCTTTTAGGGCTGGGGAGACCTGAAGATGTTCTTGCTTGAGGAAAAAGGTCTGGGATGTCTGAAATACATAAGAGAGAGAGGAGGTGATTGGTGGCTTGAGGTATTGAAGGAGGCAGGAGAGAAGAAATGAGGTATAGGGGCAGGAGTTACTCTTGGAAGGAGGAGGGACACTTCTTTCTCCCAAGCCAGTGGAAAGGAAATAAGAACAGTGATGTTATCAATAAAAGGGAGGAGGGAGGGAACCGGAGGGCATCCTTGGTTTTGAGCTTCTCTGTGGATTGGAGGAAAGGCTGTCTGCTAAGGGTGCAGGGGCACGTGGGTGGTCGGGGCATATGGGGTTGGAAGTTTCTATGAACAGCCTTTATGAAGAACAGAAACAGTTGCTGAGTGGACTAGAAACAAGTAAAAACTGATTAGTGGCATTGAGAACCCATGTAAAGGTAGATATTTTTTTTCCCTTTCTCCTCCCATAATGCTTTCCACGAGGCTAGGCACGTCACAGATAGGTGTTAAATAAAACTGAGCAAGCAACTTTAGGTAAGACCCAGCTGGACAGAAAGTACAATGTACTCAATGCCCACTAGGGGGCAGCCTTTCGTAGGCCACTAAAGATTGGACAAAGTTTTCTGCCCTCCCAAGGATTTAGGATAGAGTGCTTTAGAATTAGGCTGAAGTGCCCTTAGAGATAATCCGGCTGCATCTCTTCTTGCTGAAGATGAGGAGATGGCATCCAGATAGGGTAGGGGACAGGGCTTGCCTAGGTAACACAGTGGCCAAACTGGGATCAGAACCCGGGACTCTTGACTCCTAGTCTTTCGTTCCTTTTATCGTACCTGGCCCCTCTTTTCCAGTTGGTGGAAAGAGGGGACTGGAGGGTGGCGATGAGTGTGCCAGGACACCATCCAATGGGTACAGCTAAGTGCACAGAAAATGTGCTCTCTTAGCCCCAGTGCAGGGCAAGGTATGGAGTAGGGGGGATCTAGGCGCTGAAAGTCTGTCCTATTTTCCAACTTCCTCCATGCCAGAAGACCTCATTTCCAGTTTATTCTGAATCTCAGATCGAGGCTGAAAAGACGGTTATGGAAGCGTTCATCAACCAGGCTAAAGACATGAATCATGAAGGTGCCAGGAGTTGGACTCTGCCCTGTGATTCCAGCTGTCAGTGTTCACTCTTGCTATGTGGTTGTCCCAGCAGTTTCTCACTCTGACACTGGGGTGAAAGGAAGTAGCTGAAAATGCACAGGGAGGTCAGGGCACACCTGTGCATTCCGCCCACGTTGCTGACTGGCCGACAGCTCAGCTGGTATACTTAGCAGCTGCTTGGCTAACTTGGTGACTGTACGTGCCCTGTAATTGCACGTGGGCAACTGGCTTACTAAATGACTGCCTGATGATTACTGACTGGCCGCCTGAGTGACTAGCTGGCACACAGTCTGGCTGGCAAGCAGGCCCAGTGCCCCTGAACCCAGGAGGTGTTTGATCAGTATTTGCTGACCAGCTAGCCAGCCAGCCGGCTGTCTCACTGGCTCTCTGCCTGCCTGTCTTTATCTATCTGATCATCTGTGCTGGCTGACCGGGCTCTGTTCTCTGGGGCCATACCTGGTGTATGTCATCCATCCCGTTGCTTGCAAACTCAAAGATCAGGTCACTGGGCTGCAGGGTAATAGCCATGCTGTCTTCTCAGAGCTGAGAGCAGGATTCGCAGGGCCCTCTGGAGCTGCGGGGTTTTCCTGATGAAAAGATGTTGCTCAGGTATGTTGGAGCTTAGAGCTTACACCCTAAGCCACAGTAGAAGAGGGAGCTGGAGTAGCTGGTAGCCTAAGCCGGGTTCAAGGCTGCATGCTGGGCGGGGCCAACTGCAGGAGTGACCTAGAGAGAAGGGCAAGATGGGGACAGTGAGTAAAGTCACGTCTATTGACCTCTGTTCCCAGGAAAGCTGGTGAACCCAGAGGGACCCGGCCACACCAGGGCACACTGCCAGTAGTGGGATGGCTGAAAGGAGAGGGCAATGGGGGAAGAAGGTGGAAAGAGAAGAAAGAAGACAGGTGAAAGAAAGAAGGAAAAACAGGAAGTTAACTGAGTCACCTCCAGTGGGAAGTGGCCAAGCCTCCGTGCTAGTCTGTTACCAGCATTTGTACCTCAGCTGGCCATGAACATACACAGCCTCCCTCTCTTCCCTCCCCCACTCCTCTGGAGAAAGTGACAGATAGAGGAACTTAGGTCTCTCTCTACCCTGAAGATTAGTCCCCAGGGTGTGGCCACAAGGGAAGTCAGGGCCTCATCAATGGGGCAATAGCATGAAAAAGCACTAAAATTCCCCTGGCTAGGGAAAGAATCTTGTGCCGAGAGTGGGGGGATGGGGGGGACGACACATGGGTGTACAAGGTGCTTCTCCATACTCTGCTTGCCTCGGTTTACCTTGGGAGTGCGGGCCACTGAGCTCTGACGGGCAGAGTCTACAGAGGAAGAAATGTCTTGTGAGACCTGTGTTGTCAGCCTGACCCTGCTTGTGGGGATGGGGCTGTTAGACTTGGCCACGCCTCCAGAGAGCCGGGAGACACAGGGACAGGTGGGCCACGTGCTCTGCGCACTCATCACCCCACCACCACCGCTGCCAGCCAGCGAGATTGGCCTCTGTGCTACTTGTGGGTTTGTGTTCCTGGTTCAGCTTTGCTTTCAGTTTCAAGACTGAACTGTCACCCTGGGAACTTGTGAGGAGAGCCCCGGCTGGAGGAGGGGCCCAAGGAACCCTCCCCACGCGCCAGGGCCCCTGCTAGCCCCCTCCCCCCTTTTTCCAGGAAATCTGTCTGCTGTCGCCCACATGGCTCTCCTCTCCCTGAATGCCTCTCGTGCTTACAGTCTGCACCTCAGGCATTCACAGGGCACCTGGGCCTCCAATTGTTTCCTGTGCTTGCTACTCTTGTACGCCTTGTCTGAAGCTGCGGTCACACCCATGCTTGCCTCCCAAGGCCCTCACTCCGGCTCCCACGTCCCTCCCGCCAGTCTGCCCCGCTCCTCCAGCCCTGAACAGTTGGGCTTCTCCGCTTCCAGGTGCCAGGTCTTTGACCCTTATGGTTCTGTATTTTCAGTGGTATTGTGTGTGCATCCATGTAGTAGGTCTACATACAGCCTGGTTCAACCATGAGCGCCTGAAGAACTGGGCCCACACACCATAGTGGGAGCATCACACTTGACCCCTACCTCCTTGCCACTCCTTTGGTAGTGACAGAGTGACAAAACCTTCTCCTAGTGTGGAAAGAAATGAGGAACTTCAGAGGGGCAAAGGGTAGGAGAGGGAGAAGGACCATGGGTGACCTCCCTGATGACCGCTGCCCTCACAGGAGACACCCAGGCCTCTCCCACTTCCTTTCCGTTAGCCCACAGGGCTGGCTCCGCCCTCTCCCCACCCCCATCATCACACCCACACCTTTCCATCCACCCCCAACAAAAAGCTTTGAGAAGTCACTCAACTCGACCTGTCAGGTCTGAGTTTCCCTTTGGGTAAAATGAGACTGATGGCTGCTAGGACAGAGAGAAGGCACTGGTGCAACCACGGTCCTCAGTCCCTGCCCAAGTTCCACCCCTTCCACCCCACCCCACCCCACCCTACACTGAACGTGACCACATCTCCATCTCTCTAGTGGCCTGAGAGGCCTCCCAGGGCCATTTATGCTTGGAAGGTCTGTCTCCCCCAGCCAAAGTGCCCAAAGCCCGCATTCCTGCACCTCCAGGCCCTCTCCCAGACTGCCCCCAGGAAGCGGTTTCTCAACTAATCAAATGAAGGGCTATCACTTTCACCTAATCCTACTTTGTCTAAACATGAAATTTCTGAAACTCCTGTGGCTGCTCCGGCTCTCCCCAAGGTCATTCCTCCATGGGCCTTCCCTCCAAATTTGCTCATCTCTTTGGCTTCCCTTCACAGATCAGTATTTCATGTTTCTGAGTTCACTGCCTATGATCTCACCCTGTAGAACTTCTGTGCACCTTCTTTACCTTTCCCATTAGTGGTATCCTGTGCTTGGTTGGCATGTAGCAGACAATCGATTCATGTTTGCAGAATGAATGAACACAATGAATGAATGAATGAATGAATGATACTGATCAGTTACGACCTGAGGCATGTTTACTGGACAATAAATATATCCATGTGTACATTGGGTGTGGGGTGGGTATCATGTACTCTGGCTTATATGAGAGAGGAATGTGTCCACTCTGTGTTGCATCTGTATATTTTTGCATTTAATTTACAACAGGAGTTCACTGTGGGTGGGCAAACACACCGTAGATATAAACATGTGCAGGGTGTGCCCATGTGTCCCAAGTGTGGGGACCTATGCGTGAGAGCTTCTGTGTGTCAAAGGGCTCCCGTGGTCAGGCCATCAGGGCAGCAAGCTCATGTCACATAAAAGAGGCTGCAGTGAAGATGGGGGTGGGCTGCCACTACCGCTCCACCACCCTGAAAAGTCAAAGTCCTATGCTGCCCAGGGAGAGAATGTCTGCAGAAGAATATGTATATGGCCCATGAGTCCCTGAGGTGAGCCCCCGCAAGGTCCACTCTGCTAGGCAAGTGCTAGTACAGGGGAGACAACACTGCACTGTATCGCATGGAACGCTTGGCCATCAACATGAGGAGACGTTTGAAATAAAAGAGACTAATCCAATTGCATTCCTTAAGTGTCCACATATGTCTAAGTCTCTAAATTAAGGACTTGGTTGGTGCATGTCCCGCTGGCCCAGGTCTGTGAGTACTGGGAGACTGCACCTAGCACCCACAGCTGATCCTGGTGTCTTGTTCTGCCAGAGCTCAAGCTTGAAGCTAAGGTGAAGGGGTGCAGGGGGAGGAAGTAGCTGTCCCACTTGTCTGCTCTCTTGGCTAAGGCTAAGCAAACTCTCCCTTCCCCTCCCCCAAGGAACCTTCCAGTCCAGAAAGTTTCTGTCCTTCCCCTTCAGATGTTTGAGGATTTGAAAGTGAGAGGTGGGGAGAGGCTCATTTGCATGTTCACTCACTCTCCCCAGCAGAGGAGTGAACCACCTCCCCAAGTCCCTCAAAATAACCTCCCTCTCCCAGGAACCTGAAACCAAAGAAGCCATCACCACAGAAGGCCCGCCCTACTGGAGGCCAGAGAGGCCCACAACCAGGGGCTCCCCTCCCCAGTGTCTTTATAGACACATCAGGACTCAGATTCAGTGGCCCAGAGCGCCCTGGACGCTGTCTCGCCAGCGAATAGGGGGCTAAGGAGTACACACAGACTCTTGGCTCAAGGAATCGAGGTGCCTGGAAACCCTTAGTAACGGGTGGTGAATTTCACCCCACCCCGCCTCATCACTGTACAGCTCCAGTCAAAGTCCGCTCCTAGGGTGGCAAGAGCTCCACCCTCTTGACACCTTTCGAGTCCACTGTGGGATCCCTGGCTTCCAAGGCCTGTCTGTCCTACTCGGGCTGAAAGCAAAGCTTCTGTGAGAGCGTGTGGCCCCTGGACACTGTGTGTGTGAGTGTGTGTGTGCCACCGGAGGGTGCAAGCAAGCGAGGGCGCCTACATCCCCTCTGCCTGCAAATGCACACCTCTGGTTCTTTGTGGTTCTGACTGCATTTCAAAACAAAACTAGCAAAACACAAGTGGTTTGGGCTGTTCCTGCGTCACCACAGCTGGACCCCCTTCTGATGTAAAGACCCGTTCTGGGGTTGTCACTGGAACACATCAAGCGGTGTCCAGCACCCACCTACCTGAGCCTCCTCTACAGGAAGCATCCCCTATGTGAAAGCCACGTCCACAGTCTCCGTGGAGTGAGTTTAAATCTACACCAGTTCAGCTGAGCCAATGACTCTCATTGCATTGCTAGTAACACCCATGGCATTTTCACACACACGCCAGGAAACATGGGGGCCAGATGGTCAGCTGGGCTACAAAGCTGAGTTCTCCTCTTCCAGTTCTTTGTCCCCTCTGAGCCAGCTCTCACTCCTAAAATACCCAGTCCCCATGAAACCTTTCTGGAATTCTCTGGAAAGGAAGCGACAATTTCCTTCATGCCATTTCCCACTCCCTCAACACTCCTCCCCCACAACCACAAACAAAATGGAAACTACCCCAGGAATAGCTGTACCCTCCTCTGAAAAACAGCCCCTCCTCCAGCTAATAGTCATCCAGCAGCAAATTTGCATGCTGCACCACGTGACCAATGGCATGTATTTAAGACACAGAGGGCCAGAGTCAGGGATCCAATCTCTAGCCATGGACGGAGCAGAGGTAACCCATCCGTGGGTTTCCCACACAACCTTGATTCAGATCACGAGCTGAACTCTCCTCCTTGAGTAAATGCCCAGCGAAGGGGCCTCAGCCACAGCTATTTCATCGGCTCTTCTCCTCGATTCCTTTCTTTCCACCACCCCCACCATTTGAGATGAAATCAGGAAGGGGGTGGGGAAAATAAAGGTTTTGCAAGCTCTGTTGGTTGGGGTTTCTCTGTACTTATTTACAAGAAACCCAGTTTCCTTCTTTGGCCCTCGGTCACCGCCTGATTCCAGCATAGGGCTTGTCACAATTCTGGTGGCGAGGTGGGCCCACAGCTCTTCTCCAGCTGCCCCCTGCCCTTTCTCGGCTCCAGTCTTGTCCCTACATTCTCAGGCCCTGAGGTGTCCCAGTGGAGGCGCAATTAGGGCTGCAGGAGATAGCAGACCACAAGTAAAGAGATGTCCCCTCCTCTTTCTCCAGGAGAACCACCAGCCCACCGATGGTGTGTGGTCTACACTGTCCAGTTTGGAGGAAGAGGAGGTAAGCCCTCTCCTGGCTAAATCCCAACAAGATGTCAGCCATCTTTCTGGGCTGTGGTTTCTGTCATCCTTAAAGCCGGGTGAGGGCTGAGGGTAATCCAGGCTTAGCAGATGCTCACCGGGAAGTCCTTGGTGAATAAAGATGGTGGTGGAAAAGCACTTTGAAAATTAAAAAGCACTCATCCAAATGGCGAGTTTTAGGTGACCTCCCAGAGAGCAAGGGAAGCTGGGAATCCCATGAAGCGCTCCAAACCCCCCCCCCCGCATTGTCTCCAGAATAGAGGCTGGGGCTGAAGGCTCCCAGTTACTGGCTTGGAAGGGGCTGGCTCCTTGCCTGGGTTGGGGGCCCTGCAGGGAGGAGCAGGCTGCTGTGGTTGGAGGAGTGCTCCCAGTCCCCTGTCCTCACCCCCTTCACCCCGCCCTAGCCCTTTAGGTTGTGGTTATGTGGCAAGAAGCCCAATAGGGGAGGAGGGGTAGACAAAGGTGACTGACAAAGGGAACCTGTTGCCCCAGCTTCCCCGACTCCCAGGGGCTGCCTGTGGCCACCACATCCTTGTCTCTAGTGCTCCAGGAACAGGGAGGAGACAGAGGTGCCTTAAGTAAGATCTTCTGGAAAGTGAAGGACAAGCTAATGAGTGGGAGAACACACTGCAGGGAAGGGAGGACAACACAAATCTGGGGCAGCTACTGAACCCTAGTACGGTGGGCTGCCAGCTAGAGCCTAGAGGGGACCCCCAGAGTCCCAGCAGACCGTAAGGACATGGGCCTGTCAACCAGAAGATCCAGCTTTGCCTTATGGTTCAGGATGGTCCCCTTCCTCCTCTGTGAAATGGGGACACCCACCCTAGCTCAAAGGGTGGTTGTGGCAGGCCCGTGGGAGGGGCACAAAGCCAGCAGTTCTTTCGGAAGACTGGTTTA